ATTCTGTTTCTAGAATATTTTGATGGTGGCTCATCGCGAAATTCATGAGCCGATTTCTACTCTGTTTGAGGCTTACCAGATAGATATACACGTATGTGTGTATGCACTTGAACTCTAAGTACTTCCACTGAGAGGTGATGTCATTATAATCTAGTCAACAATGGAATGAAAGAGGAAATGTGAGGGAATGCAGTCCTGTGTGACACTTATCTTTATTTGGTATGAATCTGTTAACTACCCTCCATACAGGACTTTGCAATTGAGTCCGTGTTTGGATTTTTGTAAGATGATGACTGTGTTCTCAGATAGTTCATAGGTTCGAAGAAGATTTCACAATGTTCTCCTATCCACACTGTCTAATTCATCCTTATGATCAATGGAAAATGATCAATGTTTTATAAATGTAAAGGTATAATATAACAGTGCAGAGGAATGGTGAAAAGTGTGTGATAGTAACAGACTGTTTTTGATGCATACATTGATGGACGGTTAACGCTTAAGAAATTTAAATTAAGTTCTGATGTATTCCCCTTGAAACATTTAACTAAACTTATTTAGAAATATATTATAATGGCGAATTTTTAAGGGTAAATGTCTTGATAGTACTACATATTACAAACTGGAAAATGTAATTGTTGTATGATATGCTCTACTAAACCATCCTTATCGTTTTCCGTAAACACAAAGGAAATAAGGTGTCGAGAAACTGTAGTGAACGAGAACGCATCCAAGCGGTCGATTGTATTCCGTACTTTCCCTCAGATATGGAGTTTTTCATAATCCAATCAACCACCAGAAGAAAGGGAAAAGCAAGAGAGAGAGAGAGAAAAAAAAAAGTAAGCAACCTTATCCAACACCGACCTTCACACATAATATTTCTATGAGCTACAGTTTATTCAAGAAAAATTATGCAATATATAATAAATTTACCATGATAGTGATGATAGGGTAATTTGTTGTTGTTGTTGATTCTTTAAGTCGTAATACATTTGACCTTCTATAGGAACTAAAAACAGTACCTGTTGTAATATGGGATTTCTTTATATTATACAGGAGGAATTACTCTTTTAGGTACTAAACTTTCTACCTTTTTCTAAAACGAAAATCAATCAATATTAGTTAGTAATACAATGTAGAACTCTTTTATTTGAATGTAATATAAATATCAATATTGATATATAGATGAGGGCTCGAACCTAGAAAAAATCTCAGTATACTCATATACTCATATGTATATTTATTCATTATGCTTCTAATTGTACTAATACTACTTTATATGTACTGAATAAAGATGATATATATAGATATAGATATAGAATAGAATAGAATAGAAAGAAAGAAAGGTTATTTATAGTGACAATAAACTATTTAACATATTTATTGAATACATGCATATTTTTACATGTCATTATTGTGATTATACAATATTCAATTTAATCATAATAAGCATTACTATTTTAGGTTATAAACGTGACTGAATTCATTCTTATTTATTCGTTATGTAATAAATTTTAGGTTATGAATTTTTATATATTTGCATATATGTATTTATAGAAAGAATTTTTAATATGAATATTCATAGATAGTTAGAAGCTGTAATAATAAATAAATCATCAAAATCAATAGCTTTGTAAATTTTCAATATTTGGATACTAATCATATTAGTTTTAATGAACTCAGCTAGATGAAAGCGTTCGGTTATGCATCTATATCAGATCATGAATGGGAACATCGTGATCAACATCCTATGCAATCGCTAACCAGAATAGATCAGTCGATTCTTCATATATATTGATAATCTATCAAATATATCTTCGAACATACTTACTTCTGACTTTTGATTTCACTAGGTGGGTACGATTTATAGTAGAAGGTGTTAGTGGTTAAAGCGTTGTCAAACTCCAAATACCTGTTACTTACTTAATTACGCCTGTTACCTCCTATGGAGCATAGGACGCCAACCAGCATTCTCCAACTCACTCTGTCCTGGACCTTCCTTTCCAGTTCTATCCTATTTTTGTTCATTCTTCTCATGTCTGTCTTCATTTCTCAGTGTAATGTAATCTTTTGTCTTGAGAATTCCATGTGAGGGCTTTCCTTGTGACAGTTGGGTGCTTTCCTCAATGTGTGTCCTATCGACTTCCAGCACTTGTTCCTGATTTCTTCCTCCGGTGAGATCTGGTTTATTCTCTCCCGTAGTAGGTTGTTGTCAATAGTGTCTGGCCAATGGATCCGAAGTATTTTGTGTAGACAACTGTTAATAAACACTTGTATCTTCTGGATGATGGCTTTCGTAGTTCTCCAAGTTTCCGCCCCATACAGTAGAACTGTCTTGACATTTGTATTGAAAATTCTGACTTTGATGTCGGTTGACAGACATTTGTTTTGAGTTCCAGATGTTCTTCAGTTGTAAATATGCTGCTCTTGTTTTGCCGATCCGCTCTGAGTTTCAAATACCTGTAGCATCTTCAGTTGTTTAGATATTAGAATGTAGTGGTTTTGTTTCGTTAATTGGTCACCTCAATAGTCGTTTTAATATAAATCTCAACGATGATTAAAATTAGAAGGTAATGAGAAGCAATAACTACAGTTTTCTTAGCGCATACTGCAGATCACAAAGCTATAAGCACATCGAACCTATTGGAAACTGAATGGCGAATAAGTATATGTGAGCAATTATATCGGTAAATTTATAGTCAAATTGCATAATGGCGCAGCAAGGCAAAGCAAGGGATTAATAATAGGGTTTGAGTACAATTTTACATGGGGAGGAGAATGAACCATCAAGTGTTGTCTAAGCAATCAACCTTTTAGCTAGAGTCTGTTATTTGCCCTAGTGATCATCACTGTATAAAGAAATATGCCAATTGTTACTATTCAAATAACATTATCTATTAACTAAGTTAATAAAATGGCTTAACCAAAATTAACCATAATCGAAATTGGTTGTAGGATAACTGCTATAAGAATCTGATCACCTGAGAATTACATTGTTGTAAAGATTTAACGTGGATTATACAAACATTATGATTGAACTATTCTTGTTTAGAATTAGGAGTTGAATATAGCTAACTGGTTATGCTACACGGTAAACTGGTTCATTGTTCTGCTTCTTCCAAAGATTTCAGTAATAGAAAAAGAAAAAGAATTGAAGTGTTGATAGATATTTCATATGAAATTTGGAATCCCAAGTGGTTCGGAGTAATCATCAGGGAACTCTGTTTTACCTCAGTTCTAACGTCGTTACCACTTGTTAAAAATGTATACTGGGAATCTCGAAGGAACTGGTAGGTGTCAGAGTTTCGAAATTCAAGTTCAAGATCCTATATGAACTAAGTTCGACTAGTCAGTATCAAAACGAAATACAGACAGTGCAATTGCATTAGTGGTGAAATTGCGACTTGGTCGATGAAGCTATGTCATCATTAAACAATGAATAAATATGATCATGTTTACTCCTTAGTGATTCATCATTATAAAATTTGAAATTATGGTTTATAGTACAATAGGATTTTTGTAACTACCCAGAAGTGATCTCAGCAATAAAGTTTATTTTACAAATCATGAGATAACAGTTTTTAATGAAAATTGAAACTAATTGTATCATAGGAAAAGAGTCCTTTATGAAGTGTGACAAATGAGCTGAAATTTTATTAACATTACATGTATGACACATTTATATTTCTAAAAAAATAAGGTCAAACCACAGGACATAAATATTAGGAACGATTAATAGAATTCATCATTTAGTCACTTTAAGAAAGAAAAAAAGGAGAAAACTTCAGTACCATCGCCTTTCTATAAACCTCAGTGATGAGGATTCATGACAAGATTATACTAGGTCTTTATTGTTTACAATATAAGCAAAATTCAATAAGACATCTGGTTCTTAACCCTAAACGTTTTTGTTTAGAATGCATATTAGAAAAGGAACTAAAGTTTTGCTTTGATTTAGTGAATAATGACGAATATTCGTCAAAGTTCCTGATGAAACATATCCATAAAACTCTATTCAGGGATAAATTCAGTGAATTCATCATATGATCTACAGGAATAAATAATCAAAACAGAAAGGTTATGTTCTTCTTTCTTCAATCAATTTGTAGTTAGTTCACTAGATAAAGGTAAACTATCCAGTTTTGCCACCTCTATATGTATTTATTAGTTCAACTACTCCTAAATAGTCAGTTATACTTTGCATATAACCAAGTAAATACATCATCGTATTTTTACACATCACCCCTCATGATTGAACAAAAGACAAGTTAAAACAGTAGAAAGCTCTCTTTTGACAAATCTAGTCAATACTAGTCACTGAAACGATATAATGTTAGCTTTTAAAGTTACATATAATGTATGCCTTTAAAACTATCTTGGTCTTCCTTCTAGTTATACTTATACTCCTCGAATTTTTTTTCCAGTTTTACACAAATTTCAATCATATTTTATTCGTGAATGCGCACTGCTGAGGAGTCCCATACTAGGACGAAACGGCCGTTCAGTACTTCCAGGTTTTCCATAGTGGTCTAGCTTCAATTGACTCCTAATTTCAACCAGTGAAATTTCTAAAATCTCCACAAAACCCATTCTGATAAAAATGATGATTGTTTTTTTCTTCATCAGAAATTTGAATTCGACAAATTGTATTATGATTTCTCGATACTACTGAATATACATTACCTTTTTATATCATACACTCAGTAACTAATCAAAAACTCATTTTAATGTTATTTTTCTCATTCTAATTTCAATATAGAAATATTATAATTGAATGAATATAATGTAAAACAACATATTAAACATTTAAAAAAATAAATACAATTACATAACCATTGAATTTCATCAAATATACAAGAAGATAAATTAATCACTAAGTAAAAAGAAAAGAAAAGAAAAGAGGAGAGAAAAAATGATAATAAAAGAAACAAGAATATAAACAAACATTATTTTAATAGTTAAGTGAATAAAAAAAAAATTGATCCCTTTCAATAAAATTTCTTTTAATACGTTTTGTTTCTATAATCTTCTGTTTGAATACATGGAGATGACATAAATGATAATATAACTACTACTGTTACTAATACAGCACCAATAACTGCACAAAAATATGACCAATTCTGTTCAATATATATGGTATATAATAAAACACTAATTAATAAAGCTATAGCACATAAAATTAATAATATAAAACGAAAAATTAAATAAGTAATATGTGAAGAAAATTTTATTGAATTTAAACTAATCATATCTAAGATTATAATCAATAAAATACAAAAACATCCTAAAATCAATAATCCAATCATTGATAATATAATCACTTTATAATCTGTATCTTGACATGATAAGAATAAATTACCACAAATCCAATAATCTGTACATAATGATGTAATACATAAACTTAATGTTATAATTAATAGAATAATACAAAATGTATATTGTTGATTGATCATTGATAAGATTGTGAATTATGAGTAGTATTGATTAAAGAAGAAGAAGAACAACAACAACAACGTAGAATAATCCACTGAACTCGACGTACACTTACTATAAATCAATAATGGTTTTGTCGATTATGTTAACTGTTAAAGGTGTAATATTGTATATATATATATATATATATATATACATATAAGTCTACTGACAACTGATTTACACCTACTCAACAACAATAACAACAAAGAAAAAGACATTTAATTATGTTGAATAATAATTATTCATTGGTCATTTATTATAACCAGATGATGTCAATCAAATTTGAGCGTGTATTTTTGATTTTATTCATGAAACCAAGTGGAAATAGAGATATTGCATGGATATATACAAAGGGGGTACTTTTGATCATAATAATAATACTAATAATATCAAACTTAATTGATTGGTTATATTCATCTTTTGAAAAGTTTTTAATCATTATTGATTAATAATAATAATAGCAGTGATAATAATAATAATAATAATAATAATAATAATGTTTCTTCATTGAATGCTTCACTCTGCATATGAATCATATTATTATCATTATTAACATTGTTCAATATTATATTTTTGGTGCAATATAGAATTCTCCGCACAAAGTATTTCAACAAGTTTTTTTATCGAGATCATGAACCGATTGAGGTTAGACTATCTTTGGAAACCTGGAAGCACTGGACGGCCGTTTCGTCCTAGTATTGGACGGCCATCCAGTGCTTCCAGGTTTTCAATGGTGGTCTAGCTTTAACTGGCTCATGAGTTCAATCTGTGAAAATTTCTAAAATCTCCACAAACCCCTTCTGATAATAATCATCTGCTCACTAGTGACTGACTTCAAGAGATACTCGTGGAGTTCTAGTGGGAAGCCGTTACCAGTGGAGTTCAACCAGGACTGTTGTGAGATATCAGCTCACTGAAGACAATGGTATATGGTGGCGCAACTTCGTGGATTGGTTGAAGTTAGACATTAACACTGATGGATGCCAGCTCAGTGGTCTAATGGTTAAATGCTCGCGTGCGAAGCCAGTAGGTCCTGGGTTCGAGCCCCGGGTGGTGCGGGATCGTGGATGCGCGCTGCCGAAAAGTCCCATACTAGGACGAAACGGCCGTCCAGTGCTTCCTGGTATTCAATGGTGGTCTAGCTTCAATTGACTCATGATTTCAATCTGTAAAATTTTTTTCTGATTTCCCAATCATCTGCTTCCCTTCTACCTTCGGAATAGACCTTTTACCCCTAACTGTTACTATGATCCTCCTGACTATATCTTATCTCGATGTTAACAATTTATCTTATCACACCAGGCTTTCCCTTTCCAATAGTTCTTTATCTATATTCAATTTTTAAATAACAAAATTATCATTAGTTCCCTTAATTAAAATAACATTTTTAACCCTTTATTTATTTTAGTATGCGTCGCACAATCATAGACCATGATAAACATAGAGAATGTACATACCTTTTTTAAAATATAGAAGTTCATTTTCTTGGAGTTGATCTCGATAGCTTTAGCTATATAGTGGAGCTAATAACCTTACTGCTTAGGTAGATTATTCACGACCTGATATAAAACCGAGAACTCCTCATTCATTTGAATATGATGTGCAGTGTTCACCAGGTAAGAAAGGCTGCCAGTTTCAATTGATGACATGATTCCTTTTTTGAATCTTAACCAGTATGTGTTCATAAGTTCTGAAAGATAGGGCACTTTGAGTACTTCGCCTTAAGATGAATATTTCTGCTCCTTGCTCAGTTGATCTTTTAAACTTTTTAAATGATTCATTTCGGGCATATCTAAGCTGTGACCAATCCAAAAGTTTACTATTTTAAAATATTGTTGAATTCATTTATTTATGTTTAACCTGTTATACAATAATTACAGATTTATAATAATAGAACCTGATGATGAAATTATTGTCACCGACTGTTCACTTGAATACTATTTGTTTTTGAACCATCCAGTTCAGTTTGTGTAGTCAATCAGCCTTCATAAACAAATATGTAGCTCAGCGCTAACCTCGTAAACCTGTACTTGGTAAGTGAATTATATCGATTTTTTAAGTCCCTAATTTAGTATATACATTTGAAACATCCATAGCCTCATCTATCGTATTCCTTTCCATTTTACTAAGTAGATCCGAAGTAGTCTTTTATGTGTAGAAAAGACTATCATACACTAGCTTGTGCATTCTTTAACTATATTCGTATTCCTTATGACCAGAACTGAACTGTTGCTACAAAAAGAGCTTTAGTTTATTCCATTCTAATAAGCTTACTTTCCAAATCATTCACTATTCAAAACTCCTCGAAAAAAAAACCAAAAAGAGGCTCTGAAAACATTGAGAGGTATCTTATCCAATCAGCATTCACTAGAAGTTTTGCCGCAAACATCTATAAAGTGAAAAGTCACATGTCGAGTTTCTGATTAGATGATTACTTGTACTGCTATTATTTTTAGTAGCATTCCAGAACTTTCGGGAAACCAAAGGACGTCTAAAATACTATAAAACCCTAGATTTTCTGTACATAAACGAACCTTTGGAGTAAAGCGCTTTTTACATATTTCGCGACTTTCCTCTCGTGTTCAAGTTGCTGTGTAGATCTAGACTGGGGGGGGGTTACTAGAAAAGCGTAGGAACCGAATCTAGCGTTCAATTAGAAAATTTATCAGTTCTATAGTTTACAAAAAATTTTTGAACAAGTTAACAGTACAATCTCTCATATGACAAAATTCACGTTTCCATTTTTCTGTGGTTCTGAAGTTGGTAATAAGTGTATAAAGTAATTGGGTATTGTCTACTTGAATCTTCTCATTGATGTTTATTACTGAAATTGATCAGTAGCTAAGTGGATAACGCGATGGCGTTTGAGGTGAACGATACTGAGTTCGAATGTTGGAGTGAACATGAACTCTGAGATGCAGTTACATTCAGCTGACGAGTCCGAAGTAGGACGAAACACGAGTCCTGGATTCCACTGCTAGCCACTATCTATCTTTTTTTATAAATGTGACCATGATGCAACTGGATATTAATTGGCCAAACTGATTGATTTACAAGATTATTTACATTTGAAAATCATCAGATAGACTGAAACAAATTTTTTAACTGAAATACTCAAGGATTCCTCATTATTGGTACGATAAGTCAACTGTGATGGATGATTTTCATTGTATTGGTTTTCATTAAACAATTTTTGAAAAAAGACAGCAAAAGCAAACATAGAAATCACTAGGATACCACTTTTAACGTAGATTTTATACAAATTGGTACTTTACAGTAAGATATACCTGGAATTTTGAAGGAATTGATGTTCTAAGTGAAATTCAAAACTTCTTTAACCAGTATCAGTTTGAAGTATTCAGGAAGCGAATACAGTTCTATTGTATTGTGATTTTCGTGCTGACTGATTAATGAATGATAACCAGTTTCATACTCGTCAAGTTCTGAGTTATGACTAAAATCTATCGGTCAAGTTACAATGTCACTCACCATCACCTACACTATCTCTACTTTAAACTTAAAAGATGGGATTAGTTGGTATGAAATCGACATTGATATAGGTTTCATACTAGTAAAGAATTATCAATAAGGTTTGCTTACAGTCTTGAAGGAATTGATATTTCATGTGGAATTTTGAAGGAGGGTGATTATGAATACACTGGTCATGGTGCTGTTAGAGGTATGAGGGCGGTTATCATTTCCCGGTTGCTCACACCGTGGAAGGGTTGTTCTGGAGGTACCTGAATAAGAAATGGGATTAGAGGTGGTCTTAGTGACCTGGGAGCGTGACCGTAGTGCTTAAGGGACAACTACTTGAGGTCGGTGACACATGACCTTTTTGTGAGTGATTTTCGTGTTAGCTCCGTACTTGTTGAGACCTTAAGCCGGAGACGGATATCCTTGGGATAAGGCGAGGTGTGCATTCTAGGGTCAACCTTTTCTAACCCCACCCCTCCTTGTGGGAAGGCAGCTACTTAATCGCGTAAAAAATTTAGTAGATTACAAACTTCAGGATCAATGAACTGGCTTTCGAGAGGATGACTTATGTAACGACCAAATAGCAATAATATACATCCTTATTGAACAATGGATCGAAATGAACTCATCTCTCTAAATTAACTACCTTGATCATAAGGATGAATTAGACAGTGCGGATAGGAGAACATTGTGAAATCTTCTTCGAACCTATGAACTATCTGAGAACACAGTCATCATCTTACACAAATCCCAACACGGACTCAATTGCAAAGCCCTGTATGAAGGGCAGTTAACAGATGCATTACAAATAAAGATAAGTGTCACACAGGACTGCATTCCCTCACATTTCCTCTTTCATTCGATTGCTGACTGGATCATGAAGACACCACATCTCAGTGGAAGCACTTAGAGTTCAAGTGCATACACACATACGTGTATATCTATCTGGCGAGCCTCAAACATGGTAGAAATCGGCTCATGAATTTCGCGATGAGCCACCATCAAAATATTCTAGAAACAGAATTTATTGATGTACTTCAGATACAATGTACATGTGTAAACGTAAAAGTTTGGAAATAAACTTGTTGAAATGATTTCGTCTACTGAATTACCTGTTCTTTGATGAAATGATTTGCGAATTCCTAAGAGGTTTGTTTTCAGATAAATTATCATCGACCACAAGTGAATGTGAAATGGTTAGACATCAAACGTTGTTTCATCATAATCTAAGAAGTAAATGTCGGAAGGATATTATTGGCTTGTACGACTGACAAATAATAAAACCTGTGTCTTACCTCATTTAATTAGTTTGGACACATTCCTTAGTATCACTAATGTTAAATGAACATATGTGGGGAAATCTGTGATCAACTGGTTGAAATTCAACTACCATTAGTTGAAATTCTGTCATTCTCAATGTTCGTCAAAGTGGTGACCATTCAAATATAATCTCATCTTACTGAGTAGTGCTTTTTGATATAACATATTTGCATGGATCATTGATGCACAAGTGTTACAGAGTATGAATGTGAAATCGTTTCTACGTCTGTAATGTGTCATTCTACAATATTCTATTCACCACATAAAGATCAATCACTAGGGGAGACTGCTACTTCTGTAGTGATCTAGTTGTATCTGTTTATCTCCACCATCGTCACATAGAACTGAGTCACCATACTGACCAACTCCAATCACTCAATAATGAGTACAACCGCTGTTTAGGTGATTGTTAATTAATTACTTACTAGCTAATCAAGTGATTTGTATTGGGTTTATGGGTTTTTGCACTTTATTTCTTAAGTAGATTATCTGGGGGGTATGTTTAATTTATCCCTCTCTGCGATGATTCACAGAGTGTTTCTATTAGATTGATTAGGCAAATTAAATAAAAATGTTCAATTCCGAAATCATAACAGTTCGTTTTGCATCACTTCCAAATGATTGGCATCTGTCTACTTTCAAACCGGTCCAATGTCAATTCCGATTGAACAGATCACGTTCAAACGATTTATTCCAAGTATTCTAATCAGTTTCAGATACAGAATAATCAGTCAGATATTTACATAATAGGTAGTCACTAGCCCTAATAATCACGTCTCATTTGATGACTACACAGTGAGTGATACACAGAACTCATTTCTCCCAATCCCTCTCAACACATAAACATGTATATGTTTCTGTTATTAACTTGCACACTGACACGTTATTGTGTTCGATAAGCAACCTATTGTTCTGCTCAGTGATCTCGTCTTGATATCGGCCTAATCGTTGATTCAATAAATCAACAATTTGATCTCGTTAACATCCAACACTCGACTAAATCGAATTATCACATAAAATTAGTCGATTGGAATCCTATTCATTCGACTTGACAATTGCAAACAGCATTCATTCAGAAAATTCATCTCGATAATCGATACACAATGGTTACAAATGATCCCCTGTTGAAGTGGTGTTAAAAACCGATCTATTTTATTTATTCCCCAATCTATACATCCTTCGTGTTTTGTATTTGTGAATAACATCGATTGACAGTACTCATGGTACAGATTTATTCTAATTTGTGAAAGTATCTGAATTATGGAAGCCACATACCGTTGAAGGCAATGAAATTGAGATGAAACAGATGAATGAGGGTTAACCCACAAAAATCTATACATCGATTATTCAAATGACCAACCTTCATCTAATAAGATCACCAAACTCAAAATAAACGAACACAAACTATGTGATTTAACCGTGTTCGTGTCATCATTGTCGATTGATATGATGTTACCACGTGAAAACTAGAATAATACACTGTATTTCGAGTATTCAACCAAACATGAAACATAACACTGACCGATAATATCCTAGTGAAGATGTGAGAGATTCATTTTAATCAAACACTGAATGCCCAATAAAACTTCGTTACAGTGATCTTGTCGATTACAATGTTTATATATCAATGATATTTAAATTAGAAAAACACGCAGTAAAGCAATCATTGGACATGTAACAACACAACATGCACATTGAATACTGTCAAATATACAATACAATAGATGTTATTGCTTAATCTAAATTAGTCACAAGAGAAATAGAATGATAATGAATGAGAGAAAGGATAAAATGTGGGAAAATTGGTTGAATGTTTCAAAGTAAAATAAACGAATTGGTCATTGGTTTACCGATGTGCCAAACGACTTTCTCGAATTGTTCTCGTTGTTGTAGTGGTTCGAACAGTAACACATTTTGACGACATGATCGCCAATATAGCCACTTGTGTTGCTAGTACAGCTCCAGTCACTGCGAAGAAGTATGACCAATGATGTCCGACTAATGATGTGTACACTAATATGCCAATCAAGAGAGCTGCAGCACCCAAGTATAATATGATGAAACGTACAGTTGTATAAGCAGCACGTGAGGCGAATACATCTGAACACAATGCAACCGCATCCAATAGGATGATGATTAATAGGCATACAGTGCCTAAAATGATTAAGCCAGCAACAGCTGATACAGTCTCCTTATGAACAGTATTCTGACATCCTGAGAATAAATTTCCACAATCCCAAAGACTTGTTACCAACGATGCAATACTCAGACCGACTGCTAAGCATAACAGACTAACACCCAAACGACGTAATTCAATGATCATTGTTACAACTGTTGACTGTGATTAGTATTGCTTGAATATGGTGAATAATAATCCACTGAACTGTTCAGTACATCAACTGTAAATCGATATGAATTTTGTTTGTTTGTGTTAATAAGTAATAGTTGTTCGACGTTGTAATTTATATAGACCTACTAATATTACTGATTTACACCTACTCAACAAAAACATATAATTAACCTAGAGTAGTAATTTTTTATTGGTTAGTTACTACTACAGTTAGTCAGTTGATGTTGATGATCAAAATGTGTGTGTTTGTGTGATTGTGTGTAGTTTTGATTTAACAAACATAAGTGAATGGAAATAATGATGATGATGTCACATGAAGGTATATAAATTTGTACTTTTGATTATGTTAATGAGGATAATAATAATAATGATAATTATAGTGGTACAAACCTCGACTGATTATTTGCTCAATACGTTTACAATGTTGTAGATCTTTTAAAGGAATCAGCTTTGATTAGTCAGTTTGTGAAGACTGGGTATCAATAGATTGATGTTTATTTTATTTTCGGATTCATTTTCAGTGGTAACCATGACTCTAGCGGGATTGCGGCTCGGAACTCTCTGGTTTAGTGACGAGACCCTCACCTTTAGATTAGTGAGCTTTTATCTGACGGTTATTGAGTTTAATGTTAATCAATTTGCGATTTTGCGCGATCATCTGCCACTCATTATTATAATGAGTTACTGTCTCATATCCCATAGGGTTGAACTTTGCTAGAGACATTATAAGCAAAAATGCAGAGTGGCTAGCACTGAAATCTAGGACGCGCGTTTCGTCCTGTTTGGGACTCATCAGCTGGATATACCTGCATCTCAGAGTTGATGTTCACTCTAGGACTCGAACTCAGTACTGTTCGCTTCAAACCCCATCGCGTTATCCACTTAGCTACTGAGTCCTGATGCATATATATATGCCAATAAGAGACTGATCAATTTCAGTCCTAAAACATCAATGGGAAGATTCAAGTAAAACAATATCAAGTGAATTTGCTAGAGACAGTTTCTCATTAGAACTCCCCTTATATCCTCTCAAGATTAGGAGTCAGACTTGCGTAATTTTAAATGGGTAATATTTATCATCAGTTAATTATTATTCTAATGTGTGAACACATATTTGAAATCTCATACTGATCGATATTCACACTGACTTGATTTTGCGCTTTTAATTCTGTTGTAGTGTAAGTTACTGTGCTAGGCCCATATACCTTATTTTAGATTCTGAACAGGCTTATTTATCCATTCTACTTCAGTCATATTTTGATCTTGTTAATTATTCACTTATCAACGTTGACTGTTTTTATATGAGTGTATGTGTATACACTTCTTATCCTATTCATCACATGTCCGTAACTTATTTTTGTGTGACTATAAATATTGCTTAGTGCTTGACTAAAAGGGAGTTCGCTTACTCGCCATCTCCACTGCGCGTCATTTCTCTTTGTTCTGTTCTTTTCTGTCCGCTTCCTTCGCTTTGTTCCTCTAGTTGTCTGTCTACATCAGTGAGTGTACAAAATATTTGCATTCAAAAATCCATTTTCGTATACCACTTATTTAATTCCGTTATACACTAACGCGATTTAAGTCTATGAAATATACGAGGATAGTTATAATGTATATTTCAATGGCAATCAGAAACGACCACACATATGATAGAATCGGAGTTAGATATCGGGCCACAAACGTGTTGAGCTCGTCAGCAACATCGCCCGACCTGATTGGAGTCAGATCAAAGGTCACAAAACTGTTATACAACATTCCTCTTCTGAAAATAGGTTCGACTGAAAGCGATGAAATGGGCTTACATCATAAAGGATATATTGTGAGTCTGTTCCTTGTTGTAACGTTATATATATATTTAATACCGCAATGTTTTTTGTGTTGTTGGATTTTTCCACATATTTATGTATTTTATTCTCATCATTTCTCTCGTCTACCATCCTACAACTCATCTCATTCTAACCTCATAGCATCAAAGCCTGTTTATGCTATTTAGAAGCTAACCAACCTCAGATAGACACTTCTTCGCATTAGTAAAGGCACCACCGCGCGAGTTCAACAGGTATTTTACACTTAGCATGTTTTCTACTGATGTTTCAATACCTTACTAATCTGTGATAAAGGTTATCGTTAAACGTGGAAACTCAACCGATAGAAATTTTTTTTAGATAATCTCTTCTGTGGCGTTACGCTCAAGATAGTTTGAGATTAAAGTTGTAACATTCACTCTTCAGTACGTTTGCATATAACTGAATGTACTCTGTTTGCTGTGAGAGTGTGAGAAGTAGCATGTATGAGAGAATCTGAAAAAGAAAAGAATAAGAGAAAAAGTGAGCCAACAATTCAATAGGCACATAGACTTCATTTACGTTGAATTATGAAAGCAATCAAAAATAACTAAAAACAATACATGAATGATATTAAAACAATCTAATAATTAAAACTAGAAGTCGATCATTTAAGGTTCTGAATGAGTTACAAAGTGAAGTATACAGTAACAATATTGTTTAGAATATCAATGAAGGTTATAGAATTGAACTACCCACCTTAAGAAATACTACAATATCTAAATATCTACTAATTAGCTGATTATATGACCGAGAAGAGCAAGAATTAAGATTCTAGTAGAATAGCATGAATTCATTTGATTTCGTCTTGTCCTCATCAGCTGCTTACAACCTGGGATACTTACATGAGAGGGTTTAGTTGGAAGTTATATTGAAGCCATTCGTATAGTATAGCAAGGGTATAAATAAATTGAATAGACTGAATATTGTACCTTATGTAAAAGATTTTACAAGATCGATTGTGAAAACAGTCCAAAGGGCCAGAAACAAAGTGATTACGTAATGAGTAAACTGTGATAAGAATAAAATGGGCAAAGCCCAGTTAATAAAATAAAATTATTAACCTGGAAGACAGTCTAAATAAAAAGACCTAATGATGTAATAAATGCAAGAAAGAGTTTAAAGAAAAAAGAAAAGAAATTTTAAAATGCAACGAAGGAACATTTGTCACTAAGGCAAGGAAATATTAATAACTATCTTCTTTTGAACAGGTAATTCAGATTTTTGCCGCCTGATAGCAATGGCTTCAGCAAACTTCAGAAGACTGGAGTTTGGCTGCTTATATGATTGTATTAAGCATACATTCTACATTGGAACTGTTCTATAGAAGAAAGTATCAAAATACCAATCTGAGATTATGATGTTATCTGAAAATGCTTGTACTGTTCCATATCTGATTGTAATCTTTGTGCTTTTTCTTGGAAAACTAAGGATTCTGAAATAAATTTTGTTGAATTAAGAAGTGTTATATCTTTTGACCTTGTGTCCTATCAATGTAACGTACTGATACCGCCAGTTAGAGAACAGTGATTTATCAATCGGACGAATGACGCGTAAACTTGTACAAGCAGTCTAGAGTCTTTATCGGTCCTTGCTTCCTGCCTAGCTCTGCCTGTCAAGTACAGAACACCAATCTCGGTCTCTACGATATAAAATCATATATTTCCAGCATACTGGGTGTATAATACAAACCAAACAAACCACATTGCATCATAGAATAGAAAGTAAACATTTGTACAAGATCTAGCCAAAAGTGGCTGTGAATATAGTAGACTGTAATGAATAAACTGGGCATAACTTAAGAACGGTAAATTGTATCATAATAGTTCATAGGTCAAAATAAAGCTTATAATAAGAGTAGTATAAATATACATAATCTAGTTACTGAATAGTTATACATTAAGAATATACCTATGATATATGTTCATAAATAGTTCTCAAAAGTTACCATTTATAATTCTCATCAGGATATACAACTACAAACATGTTGACTTATCCATAATAACGTATATGACCGAAAGGTTTACAGTCTAAATCTATTCACTGATTGTAAAAATGTCAACTCTATGTCAACAATATGTCAATGTATTTTACATTAATCAATTACTTTCTTATGTACATGGAATATTGATTCATATTTTCAATATAGATCACTTAAAATCTTATTCATTAACTGAATATTATTAATAATAAACAAATTCCCCCCAACAACAACTGACTATACGTCTATTGATTTGCAATTAGAATGATTATTGGTGAGACTATAATTTATGAACGACCTTCGAACAATGTTAAAGTGACCTTCAGAGTGTTTACCTAATAACTAGGATGAAATAAGGGTGATAAACTAACATGAGGAATTAGAATTATGATTTACAGTTAATGGTAAGGGTTAGGAATTAGATTTATAGTTTTTATCACAAACTGACATCATCTATAATGCCAAAACTTTATTTAATCAAATGGATAGGTGAATTTCATGGTAAAAATCCAAGACCTATTGTCTTATACCTGATTGATTTGTTCATAAATTATCGTCTCGCCTGATTAATGTACTCAATACAATTACCATCATTAGTTTTATGATTATACTAAGTAAAAGGATCGATAGTAGCCAATACTATCTTCTAACATTATTTCTATTCCATGTATTACATTTACAATGAATTTAGATGGTGGTTGGAGGTAGTCAACAGGAAGCCCTGGACCCGGGTTTCGTGCTACTTGGCACTCGTCAGCAAGGTGTACCTGTAATCTTGAGGGAACTGGTGCTCCCTGGCGGATTCGATCTCGTGTCACCCAGCTTCACAGTCAGAGACGTTACCACTGAGCTATCCGAGCCGTGAATAGTATTACTATTAAAACGAATTAATAGATAATTAAAGGTTTCACAATGACTGAATTGAACATTCTGACTCTTGGGACTTTATAAACTGATATACCATTATTAATCAAACAAATCTCTAAAAAAAATGCTGTTACTAGGTGACTTACTAAGTGGGTTACATAATACAGATTTTGAAAATCTCAAAACATTTTCTGCCAAAAGTCCCTTGGGTTACTGAACCACATTTCAGCCGATAGAATATATTTGTTCGCCGGATAAATAAGCTAAACCTTGATCAGTAG